GGCCGTGTGTTCACTTCACAGTATCAGCCCAAGCTTCACCAGTTCAAAGCCGATGTCAGTGAGATCCAAGGAGCCTGATGTTCTGACTAAAGGTAACATAGCTGTGCACAGAGTCCACCAGATGTTTTTGCTGCTTGACACTAACTGTGGTGGTTTATGTCCAAGCAGATATGGCTGTTCTTGGGCAGGAACTTTTGCTATGCCGAGCATCTGATGTGGACCTGATTAGGGTGAGAGTTTGTATTCAATTAGTGATGTTATTGATTCACACATACAGACATGCAGCATCACAATAAACACAAACAGTAATCACACATCCATGGTTCTGTGTTTAATCTCTGAAGGGTGATGCAAGTCCGCGGCGGCAACTTCAGTTTCTGGAGCAGCTTTTAGCTTTCGTCCCAGGCTGCGTTAAGTCTGCTGTGCACACAGCTGATGGAGAGCTGCTGCTGAAGGAGTTCTTTGGTGCTGAGAATCTGCCGCACCTCACACAGACGCTCAGTCCTGCATTTGACCCTTGGCCTACACACATCAAGTATGTTTGCTGTCTGATGATCTCTTCTTACACACATTGCTGAAAGACTCATTCATGGATGCTTGGTGAATCCTAATCGAATTCATTGTGTGCTGTTGTACAACCACAAATCAGAAGAAGTTGGGACGTGTGTTAAAGTAAAATCGAACTGAAACAGTGCTTCGTTAAATGATCTTTGACCTGTATTATATTGAAAACAGTACAACAGCACATTATTTAATGTGTTCTTCATGAATTTTATTGTTGTTTTCAAAATAAACACATATTCCAGTTTTGGTTCTTCCAACACATTTCAAAAGCAGTTGGAACAGTAAAGCATGTACTGCTTTGTAATGTTGTCACTTAAAAGACGTTTAGAGACTGAGGACACAGAGCGATGAAGTGATTCAGGTGTCATTTTGTCCCATTTCTTCCTGCAAACAAGTCTTAAGCTGGGCAACAGTACGGGGTCTTTGTTGTCACCACACATTCTGGACTGGAGACCTGTCAGGACTGCAGGCAGGACTTTGTAACTTTGTTCTTTGGTCCGGAGCATACAGCATCCATTTCTCCCAAAAAACAGTGATTGATGGTAAACAGACTGGTTCTTTTCTACTCTTCTGAGCAATCAAAGTGCTGCAAACAACTTGTGTATTCACACAAGCACATTTTCTGAGTGCTTTCTAACTAACATTCACACTCTGATGGATGCATCGGAGAGCAATTTGGGGTTAGTATCTTGCCCAAGGATATTTGGCACGCAGACTAGGGGAAGCCAGGAATTGAACCATCAACCTTCCGATCAGTAGATGACCTGCTCTACTGCCTGAGCTACTGCCACCCAATTGATATGAAATTATTGATGTGATCACAGTGTACGTTTCCACTGTGACGTGGTTCATCCCAGATGCCTGTGAGCCCAGAGAAGTCCACAGCACTTCTGTTAACACACGGCTTCCCTTTGGCTCAGTACAGTTTTAACTGCCATTTGTGGATGTAACTACATACTGTGGTACTTGACAAAGGTTTTCCAAAGCGGTCCTGAGCCCATGCAGTGATATCGCTTATGGATGAATGACGGTTCTTGATGCAGTGCCGCCTGAGGGATCGGAGCGGCTGTTCAGCTTACGCTTGCGCCCTTGTCCTTTATGCACTGAAATTCCTCCAGATTCCTTGAATCCTTTAATTCTATTATGCACTGTTGAAGGTGAAATATCCAAATCTCTTCCTATCTTTCTTTGAGGAACATTGTCTTTAAACATTTTGTCTCGTATTTGTTGCAAACTGCTTCTCCTCGGCCCATCTTTGCTCCTAGAGACTCCAAGAAAGGACTAGACCTTTCTCAGATGCTGCTTAGACATCACCTGTTTCCAATCAGATCAATATTTAACCAATTTACATGATTACGAGTCCTAAATTGCTCCTGTCCCAACCTTTTTGGAATGTGTTGCAGGTCTGAATGACAGAAAAGGACAAAACATGAAATATTTTGTGTTCAGTTTCTCTGCAATATAACACGAGTCAAAGGAAATTTAGAAATCACTACTTTTTTTTTTTTTTCCCAAACTGTCCCAACTCTTTCTGATTTGGTTTGTAGGTGAGAAGTCTCTCTGACTTCTTTTCTGTACCTCATAGGGCTCTGTGGAAGAACACAAAGTCATCTTATAAGCCAAACAGAGAAGAAAATGGAGATATTGTTGCCCTTCTACAGGCAACGCAATCAGCACTGGAGCAGCTGCAGTCAAAGGTCTGACAAGGGAAAAAAGGGAAGCTGTTTTATTAAAGCACCAACAGAAAGCTCAAACATCTTGTTTGACATGTGCGACTGTCATGGTGGTAAAGCATGCCGTTTGCTTCGTCCCCTCAGTGTGTATTCCTGAACAGCGAGGCCCAGAGTCCTCCCGCCTTCTCTCCAAGCTCACTGCGTGTAGCAGTGTCTGACCTCCAGCAACTGATGGCCACCTTCAGCCATGTTTATGAGACAGACCTGAGAGTTTACTGCAGCAGAGACCCCCCCAGCTTCAGCTCAGAGACAGAAGTCTTCCAGAGGGTCCAACAGCTGCTGCTGGCCTGCAACACGGTACTCGCAAATAAGCCCACTCTGTTAAAGTCACACCTGTGTCATTTGGACACCCACAGTTCCAGAGACTTGCACATTAAATCATTCTAGGGCTGCCCTTAAATCACTGACTAAATATTAGCAAATGAGGAAAGTCTCAGTTGACCGAGTTTGGTGGAGGGAAAGCAAAGCAAATCATTTACCTTCTTATTTACAGACGTGGCCAAATGTTTTGAGAAACCCACAAATATTAGTTTTCACAAAGTTTGCTGCTTCAGTTTTTACGATAGCAATTTGCACACACTCAAACTTCTTTACCATGAACTTGACCGAGCAACCCAACAATCATATGACCCCCTATGACAGGGGTAGGGAACGTTAGTCCTCGAGGGCTGGAGTCCTGCAGGCTTTAGATCTCACCCTGGGTCACCACACCTGAATCACATGATTAGTTCATCAGGCCTCTGGAAGACTTTAGGACATGTTGAGGAGGTCATTTAGCCATTTCAATCAGCTGTGTTGGATCAAGGACACATTTAGAACCTGCAGGACACCGGCCCTCAAGGCCTGGAGTTGCCTACCCCGGCCCTATGAGCAAGGACTTTGGCAACAGTGGGAAGAGAAATGGAGATGTGTCTTAATTCTGGGAGTGTGACTGCACCTCATACACTCCCCTTTTAGTTTTGTTACTGTTTGAATTCCTGCATTTCACAGCGTCTGTTCTCGTTTTCGTGCCCACACTCTGCTCTTTTGTTTCGTCTCAGTAGTACCTGGGATCTACCTGCTGTCAGTCAGAGGGCTGCCGTGAAGCTTTTCCCAAACTCCGGTCCCAGACTCAGATATTAGCTTCCAGCTGTTCTCTTTCTATAGACACTGATGATCTAAGTGAAGACACGGTTAAAAATAATACATTTACAGCCAGAAACAAAAACCTGTTTCTGTAGCTAAATTATTTTCCTCCTCCTTAAACTGAATGGTGTTTTGATCGTTCTGTTTTTATAACCCAGCAGTTGGTGCCACGTTGATGGGAAGGTGTGCAGACACAGGCGGCTGTACAGCCTGGTCTGACCTGAAACCTCTTCAGGTCCTAGCTTTGCATACTAATGGCTTATTCAGGGTTGTTGTAGTGGCAGCAGATACCTTGGACGTGTTTCACAGAGGTGTTGAATCTATCCCACCAAACGTCTCTGAAACAGTTAGTCTGAACCTTCATTTAGTCCGGACTGTTTGCAGGCCTGATAGCAGGTCGGTGTAACTAATAAACTGACACTGCTCGTAGGACAGGAACATAGTGACGTGTTCTGTCCTCTGGTGTGTGCGTCTGTCAGGAGCTGGAAATGCTGAAGGAAGTGTCAGAAGCTTCTGAGTCGGTGAGCGAGGAGGTGAAGCAGCTTCAAACGCAGCCTCGCTACTGGAGCCGAGGAGAGAAGCACACGTTACGTAAGTCAGTTTAACACTCATATTTAGAGTTTCTTACATATTGTTTATTATTTGTTTCCTCTTTTTTTCTCCACTAGCTGATCAACTGGAGAAGGTTATCGGACGAATTGGAGGCTTTCTGTCTCAGCTTAGTTCATAACGTCATTCAGAGGGATGCACTCATCAGATTCACTGAGGAGGCTCTGGTGGTGTTAAGACGGAGACAACACAGCTTGGACGTGTTTCAGAGGTGTAAGGGACAGACGTGTAAGGGACAGACGTGTAAGGGACAGACGTGTGTGTGGTCACTGCAGTCAGACACCCTGTTTAATCTGAGCATGACTGACATGTTGTGTGAAACAGAAAGTGTCACTGTTGGTGAGTCGAGAGTTTTTACATCGTTTTTTTGGAGAAATCAGTGATGACATTAAACATGTTGCTATGCTTCTTTGTTTCATGATGATTACTGAAACTGACCATTTTACACTCAGTGGTCACATCACATCTCACTGCAGCCGTGCTGGGAAGTACTCCAGACCAGAGTGGGAAGAGAGTATGTTCCCTACAGTTGGCGTGAAGGAAGCGCCATGCGTCGCAAAGACCAAAATCACTCATGTACTGTCTGATTATTAGGATTCAACTTCGTCATTACACATGTATAAATACAGGGTAACAAAGTACAGTATAAATACAGAATAACTGGTGGACAGTCGAGTTCCTGCTGTATTGAGCTTGTTCACGTCTTCATTAGTCCAAAGCTGAAGTCGCCCCAGAGAACAAGGGCACAGTCTAGGTGCTCGGAGAGTAACAAACATGGAAGAATGAGGGGTCATCAGTATCTGGGTCATATATACTGCTATTCAATTAGAAATCTACTCTCCTAATCTGTAACTGAGTACTGTGAAATTCACATTTATTCTATATTTTGTTAAACACTCGACTACATGTTAAGAAAGCAGAAATGAAAACATTGTTTATCACGCCACAATTATTAACAGTAGTTCAAAGGTTTATTACATAAACGTGAGCTCAACTTATCCTTGTTTTATATCTCATGTATATATATGGTTTCAAGCTCATGTACAGTGGTGTGATTCAAATATTCATTCTTCAGACCACCAGCCACTATTTCACACAGTTCTACTCAGCCTGCTTCATGTGACAGGGAGCAGCTATCTCATCCACCCTGTTTACAAGGGGAGCCTTTCCAAAGACACTGGCTGAAACAAAAGCAGAGGGGAGCTAAACCAGTCTGTCCAGCTCGTAGACCCAGTATGAGATTGGAACACAGTCTAATAAATAAAAATCTAAAATCAGGAGCAGAGAAATGTTATTATGGTTAAAGAGACCTAAAAACAGCTGAACTCTTCACTTTTGGTGAAATGTTGAAACTTTTCTAATCACAGAAATAGACAGTTTTTAGGTTTTAAACTTTAAACTGGTCTGAATCCATCATAATGGGAACAAAAGGATAAAAAAATCCCTTGTGAACCCAACAGAGCACCTCAGTAAAGGACGTATAATTCTTCTCATTGCTGCAGGCTCTGATTCGTGTTGATTTGTGTACAGCGATATTAAAAGACAAGACATTTGAGAAAGATGAGATACTTCAGTTAAAGGGCTCAAAGTTCTTGTATTATGAATGACACGAGTGTTGGAAAGTGACAGAGAGGCATGCAGTGGGAGTTGCTTAACAATCCTACAGGAGGAGCAGCCAGACTTGATCCTGTCTCCAGCCTCGAGTCTTTCTGCAGCCAGTACAGCACAGACTCCAGCAGCAGAAAGAAGAATGGCAGAGCACACGCTTAATGCAGAGGGCATGGCTCTAAATAAACTGGGCGACATAGAGGTAAGTATCAAGCCTGTCTCGTCCTCTCTGCCCTCGGGGGCCACGGTGCTCGTAGCTGAAATGCCTAAAGTTTGTCCAGTTTGAGTCGGCACATCATGAAGCTGTTACTGAAGGTAACGGCAGAATTGTATATGGAATTATAGCTTGTGTGGGGAAAAACAAACTTTTTATCCTGTCCTGGGGCAAACTGACCAAACTTCTGAAGCAAAAGTAAAGCTGTGGCTCTCTCCCCACCGGTCATTTAGACATGGGGCTTTTTCATAGAACCAGGTGTAGCTTCTTTCTAGCAGGACTTTAGTCTCACCCACATGATGTTCTACATTTCTGTTTCTGAGGAGCCAAAAGAAAGGTGGATCAAAAAGGCTAAAACAGCTCATTTTTGACCTTCGATGAACACAAAGGCCCAACATGAGATAAATAAGGATCATGTTGAACTGTGATTCAATAATAAAATTAAGGTATTTGATGTGAGCTTAAGAAGTCTCTTTTAATCCTACCAATAAATTTAACAAAGGCTGGGGCTGTGTGTCGTCTTAATGTCTGGCTTTTGTTATTCCTGATTTATTTATGTGGTGAAGCTAGCGATGGGCATTCTGAACCTGCTTTAAAGTAGCTGAAAGTAACTATGTATGCTCAGATCCACGTCAGGCATGTGCAGGCTATGCTATAACAAAGATAACCTGTACAGTGATGAAAACTGAGAACGTCCAGGTGAACACAACCAACCTTTTGGGATTTACTTGGATGTTTGAGCATGCAGCACTAATCCCTGACATCACATCAACCTCGAAGAACAATCAGAATGACAAAGTCACAAAAAACAAAAAGATTAATGATTCAGTTCAGTGTCACTTCATCATTATGCTATTAAAGTCCATGATAACAGGGAGAGAAAATAGGAACGACCCCTCTCCAGTGGCTGTTCCACTCATCAGCTGTACAGAGAGCTGAACGATAGCTTTGGGGCTGAGACAGGGCTGCACCCCGGTGTGACGTCTCACACCCTTGTGCTACACAGCTGGACTTAAGTAAATGTCTCAGCTGGTTGAAACTTTCTCCCAGTATTTCTGAGATACATGGCGGCGGTCACCTGGATTTATCAGCTCAGACACAGGACCAGTTCAATTGTTCTCTGCACATGCATGTTTTCATGTGATAAGTTGGCAGGTATGTAGAAAACCACACCTCTTTGCATGTTAGCCCATGTTAGCTCAGGTGAGTCAACATATGTTATTCTGCCACTCCTACCTTTGTCCTTAATGCCACACCCCAGGGACAGGTAACTAAACGTGTGTGGAAAAAAGCATGGACACGTGTGCAGAGACGTCACACTGTTAAAGAGAGAAACATTGTGAAAAGTTATTTGACTTTGCATTTGTGTTCCTGCTCTCGTACCTAACCTGTCCTCTCACAGGCCCAGCCTAGAAAAGCACTCCGACCTATTGACATGAATCACTACGCCACTAAGAAGAGTGCGGCTCAGAGCATGTTGGACGTGGCCTTGCTCATGGCCAACTCGTCTCAGCTGAAGACCATCCTTTATGTGGGTCCGCAGTATCGTTTCTATGTCCCCCTCATCGTGCTGCTGACCCTGTCCACCGCGTTACAGGTCATAGTGGGGCTGCTGCTCGTCTTCATTGGCAAGCGACATCATTGACTTTGTCTGAATGAAAATGGCTTAAAGAACAGCTGTGCTTCTCTCTGTGTTATTCCAGTTTGAGTGAAAAATACTTTCAAAGTATTTTTAGAATAGAAAAGAATAGAATAAACCTTTATTATCCCACGGATGAGAAATGTGAGTGTTACAGTTCTTATAGCAGGGGCAATATAAAATATAAAAGGAAGACACAAACTGTTCCTATATACATAACCAACTGAAGTTCGTATATTTAGGTAACAATGCACAGAGCTATGTATTAAATGTGCAGTAAACAAACAAGCTGGTGAGTAAGATGATCAAAGAATGTTGAGCTGCATTATAGAGTCTGACAGCCCCTCTCCAGGCTCAGACTGAGGTTAAAGATGGATGTGGTAACCTCACAGAGTTGATCTGCACAGTCCCTCAATAGTCTGGAGCTGATTCCATCCCGACCCGTGGCCTTCCTGGTTTTCATCTGCCTCAGCTGACTTTGCACCTGGTCAGCTGTGACGGAGAGGCTGCAGTGTGGGTCAAAGTAAATGATGATTGCTGTTAAAGAACTGATTGAAGTTTCTTCGTGACTTTTTAAAGAGCAGGATAAGTTTGGGGGGGGTCTCTCTTCTGCGTAGTGAAAAAATGACAAGAGAATGTGAATCTCAGATTGATTGTGATTTTAATGAAAGGAAGAAGTGACGCTGAAAAACTAGTTCATGCATTTATTACTTCCAGGCTGGACTACTGTAATTCATTATTATCAGGATGTCCTAAAAACTCACTGAAAAGCCTTCAGCTAATCCAAAATGCTGCAGCAAGAGTCCTGACAGGAACTAGAAAGAGAGAGCAGATTTCTCCTGTTTTGGCTTCCCTTCATTGGCTCCCTGTTAAATCCAGAATTCAAACTCCTGCTCCTCACATACAAGGTCTTAAATAAGCGCCCCATCTTATCTTAATGACCTTGTAGTACCATATCACCCTATTAGAGCACTTCGCTCTCACACTGCAGGCCTACTTGTTGTTCCTAGAGTATTTAAAAGTAGAATGGGAGGCAGAGCCTTCAGTTTTCAAGCCCCTCTTCTGTGGAACCAGCTTCCAGTTTGGATTCAGGAGACAGACACTATCTCTACTTTTAAGATTAGGCTTCAAACTTTCCTTTTTGCTAAAGCATATAGTTAGGGCTGGACCAGGTGACCCTGAATCCTCCCTTAGTTATGCTGCAATAGACGTAGGCTGCCGGGGGATTCCCATGATGCATTGAGTTTTTCCTTTCCAGTCACCTTTCTCACTCACTATGTGTTAACAGACCTCTCTGTATTCAATGTATGTATGTAATCATATCTGTTATTAACCTCTGTCTCTCTTCCACAGCATGTCTTTATCTTGTCTTCCTTCTCTCACCCCAACCGGTCGCAGCAGATGGCCCCGCCCCTCCCTGAGCCTGGTTCTGCCAGAGGTTTCTTCCTGTTAAAAGGGAGTTTTTCCTTCCCACTGTCGCCAAAGTGCTTGCTCATAGGGGGTCATGTGATTGTTGGGTTTTTTCTGTATCTATTATTGTAGGGTCTACTGTACAATATAAAGCACCTTGAGGCGACTGCTTTTGTGATTTGGCGCTGTATAAATAAAATTGAATTGAATTGAATTGAAGGCAAATTACAGCGCAGGAACACGAGAAAACACGGTGATGCAGGACGCTCGCAATACTTTGGTCACTTCAGTGCACGCAGTCCCACAAAACTGGATGTCACGACGCATAAATGTGACATATTTTACTCCATATTCATTCCTGCTGTCTTACTGTTTATATTTTACTGCTGCACAGTCAGCGTGCAGCACCTATCATGGATTTTGCATGTACAAGGACAGTAAAAGGCTATTCTACTCTATTCTATTGTCATTTGCAAACACTGATGCAGCCGTGTATTTATGTGGAACATTTGTAATATTTCTGGACATTTGAACCTAGGCCAATATCAACGAGTTACAGCAGTTTTGAATTCATTTCAGACTGTAGCCAGTTACAATGGCACAGGTAAAGACTTCATTCACCTCAGTGCACCGTCACTTTTATACACCACGACATATATTTGCACACATGCTTGTCCTTATTTATACTCATACCTACATCTCTGTATTCATCTAGTCAGCTTAATATTTATCTAACAATGTCTCTGCTTCTACACTCATTTTTTATGAGTTTGTTGTATATTTGCTGCTCTACGATGAATAAGGTTTCTCCGATTCCAGTTAATGTCCATTAAATCTGCGTGATCAATGGCATGCAATAGAATTTAATGGCAAAAAAGCATTATTTTTTTAACACGTTGGGGGTTGACATGTTGTTTTAGTGAACGACCTTGGGTGAAACTAACTCTGATCAGCTGTATGGAAACAAAATAAACAGACTCTTCATATCAGAAGCTCAACCTCCACTGTGCTCACAGCACAGTCAGCGCTAAATCTGATTTGAACTGACCAAACTATACAGTACCTGTATGAATACTATGAAGGCCGGAAGTGAGAGGCTGTGGAGTGGGACGGTCTGTGAGACTGAGATTACCCAGAATGCACCAGTGAACGACACAGGAAATCATTCCTGGCTGTGGATACCTCCCTGCACAGCTCCTCCATCTAATGCACGACACACACTTTTGTTCTACAGTGAAAATAACAATTTGTTACAGTTTAGCCTAAAATGTCAATGATATATATTTCTCCTCTGCAATATTTTGGACATTTATAATGGAGCTATTTATATATATTACAGCTACACCTTATATTTTGGAACTGTGTAATGTATTGTGTTATTTAATTTTGTTCAGTGTTACTGCTCTTATTGACTCGGAGCGACTGTAACCACAGAATTTCCGCAGGGATTAATAAACTCTTTTTATTTCACTTTCCAGCGTGCAGAGAATGTGTTAAACGTTTTTCTCTGCCACCTACTAACAATATACACAAAGAACATAAAGGCTTCCACCCAGCCCAAATGACCACAATTATGACATATTTTCAGTGTCAGTTCATCAGATGATCAGTTTTCAGGATTCGGATGTATTGTTTGGTCTATTAAATGTCACACACTTGCAAAGAGCATGGTTTATTTGAAGACACAGAGTAATCAAACACCTCATTTTGTTAAATCAGAACATTTTGTCTTCTGAAAGTTTTATTTCTGCTTCTGCCAACATGTTTAGTTAACGAGCTCGACTGGACAGAAACAATCACAACTGCTGAACCTGCACTGTGCTCATGGTTAAAGCTCCCACAACATTTTGTCTTCTGAACATTGTATTTTTGCTTCAAAACTGCTTCTAGCACAACAAGAGTCAGCGGAGGCTGGAATGAGACTTAAAAAAGCTTCAGTCCACATTTCAGTTTGTTGAGCTCGCTGTTGCTCCAGAGCAGGCCCTCAGCTGGCCGGGCTGGAGCCGAGGCCCCGGGGATGCTGATACGTGTCGCGCTGCTCTCCAGCTCCACTGGCTGGTCAAACACAGTCATTATCGAATAATTGTCCACCATGAGGCACGACGGGTCGTCCGACTGTCCAGGAACTTTACCAAGGGCGTAGTTCTTCCATGTGACATTATCAGTGCACACCTGCCACGGAGAACCTCTGAGGGCAAGTGCTCTTTCAGCCTGCACGTCTGCCCATTTGCGCTCCTCACTTCTCTCCGAGTCCATCGGTGAGGAATGCAAGGGACGGGCGTCCTGCCGGGAGTGTTGCATCTGGTCCAGCAGCATCCTCACAGTATATATGGGCTGCTGCTGCTTCTGCTGCAGAGGTGTGCTGGCCTCTGAGCGCTCTGTCTGTGTGTAGATGGAGCAGAGCTGGAACAGCTTCTCTCTGGTTTCCTGAGGGGGGGGATGCTCCATGTCATCCAGGACTAGCTGGATCAGGTGAGGTGTGCTGATGCAGGGGGCATCCAGACATGCAGAGAGAAGCTGCTGCCACCTCAGCTGGATGCGGTTGATGAAAATCCTGTCCTTCGTTCTGGCTTTCTTCTGCAACTTTGTCTCAAAATGATATTCAAATTTGTTGTTGTTGCAGAGGAGGACTTCTGAAATCCATGCAGAAATATAGAAACACCTGTGACCGTTGGGCTCTTTGCTGAGCAGCTTCAGTTCCACAAAGAGCTTCTCCAGGAAGAGGTGAATGAAAGACGGAGAGTTAAGCATCTTTAGCAGGGGCAGCCAAAAGCGCAGGAAGGTTTGTGGGACTCTGGGCTCAGTGGGACTGGCACTGTCAGAGGTTGCACAGCCTAATGTTTCCAGCTGCTCCATGGTAGGAACAAGAAAACCGTCTTCCAGCAGCACATCAATCAACAGCTCACTGGACTCCAGTGCAAACTGCTTGATCTCACCCAGCAACCAACTCATGTCTGCTAAGGGGGCCTGCCACAAGCTCTTCTTGTCTTCAGGAGACCCATCATCAAAAGCTTGGTACTGGTCCTTCTCATAAGAGATCAGCAGCTCCCGAGCGTTTCTGTAGGCATCCACTTCTTTCTGCCTGGCAACGAGCTCATCCTCCTGGCGCTTGACGTCCGCTTCCTCATCCTCGCCATCCGACTGCAAGTCCCAGCGCTCATCGGGGGCTCCTCCCAGCTGTCTGGACCAAAACTCCTGCTGGAGCCACTCCAGGACCACCTTACATCCCTTTCGGCACCATTTCAAAGAAGGAAGCGTCCGATGCGTGATTTCGTGCCTCAGATCCACCACCCACTCGGGGATGTTCAAGTTTCCAGCCAGTCGCCTCAGCGGCCGGGCCGTTCTCCCCTGCTGGCGCTCCGTGATAAGATTAACAAATCTTACCAGGGCCGCCCCGTACATCAGGGTCAAGTCATCTCCGGTAAGCTGTCCGGACCGGTCCCGCACCTGGCAGCGCACGAGGTCCGCTGTGCAGTCCACGGCCACGGGAAAACTATTAGCGCACCTGGCCCTCCAAGCCGATATCCTCTCTAACGCAAACCTCTGCAGAGAGGAGTCCATCGAGTAAAGGTAGTCCCGAACCTGATCCCACTCCGCTTTGTTAAGCCAGGCTACCACATGGCGTTTTTTCTCAGAGCCCTTTTTCTTCATTGTGCGCGCTCCGGACCTCACGCTCAATCTCTCACTCACCGGGAAAAGCCGCTCGCCTCACGCAGAGACCACTCGCAGATTTATATGACAGAGGACCGCGTTCAGAGCTTCGAGTTTTACCGTCGCTTGTCGCACAGCATCCAGGAAATGACGCTAACGTTTTCTTCGGCTTCGTTTGCAGGTGACGTTCACCCTGCGGGCACGCTGACGCCACCTGCTGGATTGGAGGATGGAGCGATGGTTCTACAGAGCGCTTATTTACATGATGCTGGTCATAAACGAGCTTTCTTTGGCTATGGTGATGATCACAGTTTATTTACATACTCTATAAATTCACGCTGTTTAGTTTTAGACACTGCACTTTTTTCTTGCATCGCATTCATTTGGACATTTCAGGCTATTGTTGCTTTCATGATATGACTTGACTAAAAGAAATGTTATTAAGGAACCGGACCACGGCAGGTTTTAGAAAACCCATCCAGAATAATTTTGTAGGCCCATACATGGACCCCAAAGGTCAAAGCTTCTGTTGCCCTGCTCACGCAGTCCTACCAACAACTACCCACTGTGAAAACAGGCAGGTAATAACGTTTTGGCACATTATTTATGATAAAAACCCACCGTGAGGGGAAATGCGGTTGTGGAGAAGATGAAACCACAGAACATGTTTGATGACGCTGTCAGAAATATGAAGTTGAGAAAAAGCGACTGATGCAAAGCCCCACTAAAGTGAAAGTTAAAGTGGATCTTATTGATATACTGTAAAAGAACTGAAGAAATGAACGATATCAGGCTATATTGCATTTTCTCAGACAGACTAATTTATCTGATAGCCTTTGATTTTTGTTTTCTTTCTCCGAGGGCAGCTGGATTCACAGCGTATTGATTTATAGGATAAAATATCAAAGAAAAGATGTCTAGTTTGACTTTGGTAAGAGACATAAATCCCTTGAGGACTGTCAGGAACAGCACCCCGTGTAAACATCAGCCGACATTCCTGAGTGGCTTTCCTCTGGTCCTCACGTCACGCCGAAGGATGGCGGTAATGCACACGGTCGCTGTTTGACAACCGCCAATAAAACCCACGAAGAAGAACCCGAGGTCGGTTTGGATAATGGCGGGTGTTCTGACAGAGAAACAACTTGCTCGTCATGTGTATTCTTCATTGGAGGTAAACATTAAATACAATATTAACTAAATAAAGTCATAGTTGTGCTCACATAGCATTAAACGCTGCTCTGTGATTTGTTTGAACGGTTGGACGTGAGCGGCTCATTAATGCACTGAAATGATTAGCAATGTATTTATTATTTATGCATCTGTAGAAGTTTACTGGCTCAATGGCGCCATCTTTCAGAGGCAGTAGATAAAAGGCTGAGGTGAGCCTGAGGTGGCTTGTAGAGCAGAACGCTGTATATCAGTGGTGGGGAACTCCAGGCCTCGAGGACCGGTGTCCTGCAGGTTTTAGATGTGTCCTTGAGCCAACACAGCTGATTTAAAGGCTAAATGACCTCCTCAACATGTCCTGAAGTTCTCCGGAGGCCTGGGAATGAAACAATCATTGGATTCAGGTGTGGTGACCAAGGGTGAGATCTAAAACCTGCAGGACACCGGCCCTCGAGGACTGGAGTGGGAGACCCCTGGACTAATACCATGAGTGTTGGTGAGCTTTTTACTCCCCAGTGGTCTGTACCATACAGCAGACCATAGTTTTATGGGTACAGTTCAGTAAAAATAGTCCACCAGGCCCCAGCAGTGTGCACACAGTGAGAAGGCTGGGACACCTATCACAGCAGCTGTACCCTAATTCAATTAATCAGGTGGAGGAAAGATTAAAAGAAATGACCCTACTCTCTCTTTTTAAATAAAGATCAAAACTATTAATATTAATAGGCCAAAATGGTTTGTAATGGTTTGCAAACATGCTTTTTATGCTATACAGCTGGACGTGTTTGCATGTTTGCAGATTTCTAAGCAGGACTTAGAGGTCCTGCAGTTTTTTGGCATTTCTTAATTTGGCTTCATTTTTCAGATCCAGAAGGGCCCAAGCAGGGTGTGCTGGTACACAGTACTTTAAACCACATCGTGGTCAGTGTGTTAGCGCAGCATCCCATCTGCTGAGACATTCCAGTAACAGTCCAGCTCATTGACCATAACACAGAATCCACGTTACTGTCATTCTTAGCCTGCTGCTGTTTCTAGCCAGAAGAACATGAAAACATTAGATCACTAAGGTCTTTCAACATAGCAACAAAAATGATGTCAGATATGCAGACATACGGTTTCTCGTAAAATGTCTTCATTGCATTTTCTGATTTTATTTTTAGAAAAAATACCTTTAATAATTTGCCTCGTTACAATCCTTGTTAGTGACATTTTATTAAGAGTGTAATTCTTTCTGCTTTACAGTGACTAAGAAACTGTATTATTGTTATTACACACTGTTACACTGACGCACACTGTTTAGGAGTGATACTTTACAGAACAGCAGGAAGACAGCATTTCATTCTTTTGAGTCATTAAAGGACAAAGTAACATTTTAAATCTTATGGAGCAGGTTTGGATAAGCTGGACAGAGGCAGGTGTAAACTTGTTACGCAGCGCTGTAATCAACTCGTGTACTTTCACTGTGGACACAACGAGTCAGTGTGAGTCCAGTGTTTTGAATCTTCGGTTTTCTTTCTCTGGTGCTACATGATTAAGTACATCTCAAAACTCGGGTAAATAGAAAATAATAAAAAAGGATACTGCTTAAAACTGTAATACAACAATTACATTTGACCCTGAATTAGATAAGAAAAAGGATAAATGGATGGCTTTAATGTTAGAGGAGCTAAAACAGATGTTTCAGACAGAAGATGAACTGGGGAGCTGCACCAAAGGCCAGTAACAGATAAATAAGTATTATTTTCAACAGTAAAATGATTCCAGCAGAGGAATAATAACTGCAAGGTCAGCACAGATATTACCTGACAGTCCCACTTTTTTTTTATTAACAATAACATAATCGACAGTATTACGGGTGTATAAAATCAAAACTGGCTGGTCACTAGAAGCTTTGGCTTTAAAGTTGGACAGCAGAATCTGAAGCTACTGTAGCAGAGTCCAAGTAAAAAGTGGTGAAGCTCAAAAATAGAGTCTCGATGTGACATCGATGGAACAATCCTTCCATCCAAAGGAAGATGATTCCCGAATGAACAACTTCCACTGTTCATCACACGATGTAGGCGTAGGCGTAGTAGCACACAGCTGATAACACAGCTAAAGGCAGCAGCACCAGAATAATCTTCCACAGGCTTCCTGTGGACTTGTCTCCAGTGGGCTCCCCTGATCGTACAGAGGTGTGATTGGTGGAGGTGTAGGTGACCTGCACGGCAGCCCTGAGACACAAAGGAGAAGAGGTGGGTTAGACCCGGCTTTAAACTCACGAGCTCAAACATGTGACTGCTTCATACTGCAGGATTCACTCTGTGTCAGCGTCTGGTCCCTCCACTCCATGTTGCTCAGCGCTTCGCTTCACCCTGTGTGCAGGAAACACACAGTTCAATACTTAATGTTCAAGCCAGCACTGGGTTTGTTTCATTGCACTACATTTATGATGCATTTTAGGGAAATTTACCCCAGGGTTTACCCTCAACGTGTCATCACCATTATGACTGAGCTGACAAGAACAGTGGATTTTATTAACACACATAACAGATTTGCACTGGTAGTTAGCTGCATGCACTTTTTGGTTTAAGGATGGCTGGGTATTAAAATGTTATCAAGTCCAATTAAACAAAATATCCTCAAACAAAGGTCAAGAACGTGATAAAGTCCCTCACGTGGAACAAATGGCAGTAAGTACCGTGGCAGCTGCATCAGCAAGCTAAAATAATGAAATGCTGCAGTTTGAGTTTCACATGTAAACCATCTCTCTGCTTCCCTCGTCACCTCCCGGAGTTCTCCCATTTTCACATGTAAATGATTTGATTGGCTGAATAGCGTGTGTGTAGTGAAATTGGTTGGTGTACACACAACAAGAGATAAAGGAAAACGTTGCACAGATTAATATAACGTTAGTGTAAATACTAGAAAATCCAACCTATCATCTTACAGTGTAAATCACAACACTGTACTAAGAAATGTGACTCTGCAAAGTTCTTACCTGCAGGTTAAGACTGACTGACATCATCTGGGTAAACAACAACAATCTGCCCTTTCAGTTTTACTTCCATGGTAGTGTAGACCATAACACAGATGAGGTGTGATAACACCAGTGCAGTTTGGGAGAATTTCATAGAGGAAATAAAAGCACAGTGTTGTATGTGGGCGGTGCAATATAATCAGCTTTAAGACTATCCAACCGGAGCGGTGTGCTGTCAGTTAAGTAAACAACATTTAACTTCTCTTTACAGTTAACACTGAATGGAACGATGTTTGCTAACTGGGTATTAGTTGTTTGTAAACCAGTCTGGTGGTTGTTGGCAGGTTTCAACTGGTGTTTCTAAATGGTTAGTAAAGAGAGTGGTGCATCGAGAACCACCAGTATCTCGCCAGTTAAGGTGAATGTTGTTTACCCATGAATGCCACAAACCCACACTATCATTTTTATGAGATTCATGTTCTGTTTAATCTGCTTCACTATAGTTTCATGTCCACATTTGTGCATGCACATGCATGCACCATGTTTGAAATGCACGTGTCAGCGGAGCGGCTTCATCGATCCATCATTGTCTCAGAGCATGAGAGGATCTTAAATTAGAGCCTCATCCAGATGCTCTAACCCAGGGATGTCCAACTCCAGGCCTGGAGGGCCGGTGTCCTGCAGGTTTTAGATCTCACCCTGGGTCAGCACACCTGATTAGTTTATTACCAGGCCTCTGGAGAACCTCAGGACATGTTGAGGAGGTCATTTAGCCTTTAAATCAGCAGTGATGGATCAAGGACACATCTGAAACATGCAGGACCCTGACCCTCGAGGCCTGGTGCTGAACACCGTGGCTCTAACCTCTCCTCAGCCGTGCGTTTGCTGCTGAAATAGTGTCATTAGTGTTGTTTGTGGGGACAATGAAGACAGGCCTCCATGAGATCATTAAAGAGTCACATTATAATCAAGGTAAACGTACTTTGCAGGTGATGATCTAAATAAACCCTCAACACCTCAGCCTCGCAGATCTCGACACAACAGGTTGCTGCTCTTTTTCTGCTAACAGGTTAATCAGGATGTCGTGTTGCATGAGTGTCTTTAATGTGCCTTGTGATGTTCTGTGTGGGTTATAGCAGTACTCACATGTTGGCAGAGCGCTTACGTGTAGCCTGTCGAAATGAAAGCAGGAGTAATTGTAAGATTATTGTCTTTTTCCAGAGTAGAGGAGTTGGCACAAAAACAAAGGGGTAGGCAGACAATCAGGACTCACTGCACTCTGGTATGTGATGTAGGTAACTTCCTCCTCTGTAAAAAACAACACGAAACACAAATCATGCACTATTACCTCAAAGTTACACCTCCAAATCTGATCAGAGGACAGAAACAGGAGGAGCAGAGTGAGCCTGAGAGCGAGCTGCTGGGGCTGACCTCTTCATACAGACCAGTTATCATCACTGCTGCTGTTTCCATAACACTAACTGATTCAAACTTCAAATTCACAACTATGAAGGGAAGAGAGTTACAGTTCACCACCAAACACCACAGTCTCCTGACTTTACCCAATCACTGTTTGTGTGTTTAAGATTGGAGCTAAATGAGCCCGATCCTTAGTATTCTTCACTCTGACTGAAACACTGACGGCTTCTACCTCAGGCTGCTTCCTACCTTCTTCCCTGTAGTAGGTCTTATCAGAGGACGTCTTCACTGAAGCCTGCTTCATCGCCTTTTCAAGCTTCCTCTCATACAGATGCCGAGTGGAGTCTGTGTTCACACAAAAACACTTCTTCAGTATGTGAACAAAGTACAGACACTTATTTAAATAAATGCTGGAATGAATTAAAAGCAGTTTTTGGGTTCACATGACCTTTTGTAATGAATGGTTTTAATGTCACGTGGATCCATTTTTATGATGCAGTGTAAGCAGTTTCCACATACTGTCCACATATACCAAGCCAGACCTGACGTAGCGGTAGCCTCGCGTTATAAACTTCCAGTGTGAAGGAAGTTTCCCGCAACATTTTCCTCATGTTTCAGATGCAGAACAGCGCTCACGTGGATAATCTGCGTGTGTGGAAAACACTTCACGGCGCAAAACTGCGATCCCTGTGTGTGTACTTACCTACGATGGGTCCGTGTTTGATGCCATACTGAGAGAGCAAGCTGCCGAGCTCCTCGTCGCTTTTCTCACTCAGAGACATCTGCAGACAGACAGATTCAGACATGCGCCACCCTGCGCTCCAGCAGGGAAACCAACAGGCTACATTTCAAAACCAAACTTTATCAGTCAACGTTTAAGACAGTCGTACATGTTGTAAAGCGTTTACTTCTTTGGGCCCCGTTAAAATGAGTTTCCCCGCAGAAACATAGTTCCGAGAACTGACCTGGCGGCTTTTTGCGTCCCTCTCGAGAGAGTAAATCACGCTGCCACAAACAAATGAAAGCGGCGCATGAACAAAGCTGACGGTAAAGTGGGCTGAATGTCACTCACCTTTGGAATAAGACGACGGCTGTGCTGCGTGAACTGAGACGAAGGAAAGTCGGGCACAGCAGTAAAGCTCACATGTGGGCGTAACTTCTCCAGAATTTGGAGACGTTAGGTTGGCACACCCACAGAGCACCGCTGATCCTGCTAACCTGACCTAGCCTTGTTCTGTAGCACGGTTACCAGTGCTTTGCTTTTAAACGAGTAATCAGCGCTCAGAGCGGGTCCAAGAGGACCTTTGTTATCGGCAATCTGTGTAACATAATAGACATCCCCCTCCCGCCCCTGCCGGCGATCCATCTTTCCAGCCCGGGTCCTCTACCAGAGGCCTTGAGGGTCCTGCGCAGCACCTTGGCTGTTCCTAGGACTGCGCTCTTCAGAGACTGGGAGGACTCCGATTACCACTGGGACCACCGGGAGCTTCATCCTCCACATCTTCTCTGAGCCCTTCTAAGCAATTTCATGTGATAAACTTTTGTCTTCTCTCTCATAGCTTGTGTGTTTTTTGTTGTTGTGAACTGGTGCTCTATTAATAAAACTGAAACAATCTTTCATTCTTTTCGTGGAAGTTTGTTCAGTGTATGACACGCATTTAGTTTCTATTTCACTCGTCTGTAAATTAATATCGGCTCCCTTACATTAAGCTGGAGGGAAATAAAGACAACAGATGCTGAAAAATGGCGACTAAATGAAGTAAAGACATTGTGTGAATACATTTTTATTAGTGCTCTGTGTAAGACTTTATAAATATAAAGCAGTACTGCAAGTCTCCTCTGCTGGAATGCATAAAAACGTGATTTTGTCTGGTACAACGGTAAAAGGATCATCATCTTTGATGTTGTACTCCAAACAAGAAAAACTTTAATGTTCATTACATTTATGTCAAGTTTTCATGAAACCATGCAGAGTTGAATCACTCATCGCTCTGTGTCATCTCTCTAAGGCACTCCTTCAGGTTATCCACCCTTTCAGGTGGAGCCTTCTGTATGGTCTGCTCCAGCAGCCGCCGTGCTTGATCCAGTCCTCCCACCTTAGGGGCGTTCTGGCGGAAGAGGTAGCCGCAGAGCTGATTGTCATGGCAGTCTGGGGAAAGCAGGCCACACAGAAAGCGCAGGAACATGTCAAAGTGACCCAGTGGGTGGTTAAAGGTTCGCACCAACGCACACTGGATCAGGCCTGCGATGGACTTGGTTTGTTCTTTGGATGCAAAGATCTTGGGCATGTGCAAGATCCCAGAGTCCAGGACGTTCTTCTCCTCTGTGCGAAACATTGTGAAGACATACAAAGCAGCCATGAACTCCTGCAAGAAGGAAGATAGAGCTTCTTAAAGCGTGATCTCTACAACATACAAGTTTTTCACATTTTTGTGTATGTCACAAGAAACAGTTGATTACAGTGGCTCCTCGTTTATCGCGGGAGTTACGTTCTAAGAGTAACCCGCGATAGGTGAAATCCACGAAGTAGCCAGCTTTGTTTTTTTACAATTATTATAGATGTTTGAAGGCTGTAAAACCCCTCACTACACACTTTACACACTCAGAAAGACATGAACATTTTCACACTTTTCTCTCTTGTTTAAACGCTCACAGTTCAAACCTTGGTAGGAAAATAAGTCCAGTATTATAGAATGAAACCAAACACACCCACAGCTGCCTTTCAGGCTGCAAAACGTTTCGTCGACAGTGTTTGTTGGAGCAAACCTACAAACATACAGTGCAGCACTTCAGAGTTACTCTGCTAGCGATCAAAGATTTATATAAATTTGACAAGCTGACCACATTCTGTACTGTACAGGAGACACGGCACGAGATCGATTAACAATGGCCTGCAGCCAATCAGGACGCAGAACACAATGCGCTGTAAAAAATAAAAAATGCAAAATTGCACAAAAAAAATCAGTGACACAGCGAGGCTATGAAAGCTGAACCGCGTTAGAGCGAGGGCCCGCTGTACTCAAAGTGGACCTGCTGCTTTTCCTTATGTTCTGTGTCCTGTTCCAAAGGCTCGGCCAGTATATGTGCAACTAATACCTGGACGTCAAAAGCTATTCTTGGATCTGCATGATGTCAGTGAAAGTGGACATCCTTGATATGGTTCTCTCAGTACAAAGCTCACATAGTGTTCAAACTTTCTGTCTGTGAAGGACAGCCAATCAGAAAAGTTGGAATGTTTTATTTATGAAAGGATTCCCTGTCCGGTCCTTGTTATTCCGAACTCCAGATCACACAAAACTGCTCCACTAAAGACCAAAAATAAAATATGGACACGTTCCATTTCATTTCACACTCTTTCATCCCTTTTTAAAAAAAATCACATACAAATACTGTTTCTGTGATGGGTGGGTTGATCCCTGGCTGCTCCAGGCTGCATCCCAAATGCCTCGGGAAAGATGCTAACCCCCAAGTTCAGATCTAATGCTCTGCTAACCACATATGATATAAATAGAAATTAAATAGAAAATAAAAATCTACACACGGATGCTAGGGTAGCTGAAACAGAGGGAGAGATGGGAAAGTCTGCAGCTTCAACAGTACACTTCACACTACATGTGAAGTGTATGTTTGATATACTAGAAGGCGTGTTAGTGTGTAAGATGCAATGCAGCTTGAGTTGTGCTAGCTTCACTACCTTTATGGAGTCTAAGGCTACGTTCACACTGCAGGTCTTAATGCTCAATTCCCATTTTTTGATCAAATCGATTTTTTTCTGTCTGGTTGTTCACATTACCAAATAAAATGTGACAGCAAACATGCTCTACTGTGAATGGTTCACGGCCCTCAAAGCAGCCCGCATGTGCAAAAGAAGACGTCACACACAATATGTCTGTGAAGGTTCTCAGTCATCCAGGTCATCGTAGTCTAAGGAGCTTGGAAAGAAAAGCGTCTGGACTTCTTTAAGTTGCTTGAAGACGTTTCACCTCTCATCCGAGAAGCTTCTTCAGTTCTAAGGGTCAATGGTGGGGAGTCCCAGATTTAAAGACAGGCCTGTTGCGTCTGTCTTTCTTATCCTCCCTCGCTGGTGTGGGACTCTGGGACTCTCTGGGACTCCCCACCATTGACCCTTAGAACTGAAGAAGCTTCTCGGATGAGAGGTGAAACGTCTTCAAGCAACTCAAAGAAGTCCAGACGCTTTTCTTTCCAAGCTCCTTAGACGTCACACACAACGCGCTCTGTTTACGGAAGTAAAAATGGCGGCTACAGAGCGAGTAGGTGTTGTTGCAGCAGTCTATCAACTTCTACACAGTCGTAACCGACATAATTTTGACGAATTAATTAGAGAAAGAAGGACACTGAGAAAACAGAGAGCCGTGCTTTAACAATGGCCGCCATGCTTTCTCATTTGTCTCGCTGATAATTGGCGTCTGTCTTGTGTCAGTGACGTAAAAGACGGATTTAATGCAACATGACCATTCAAACAGCAGTCGCTTTCTAAAACATCGGATATGTATCGGATTCAGTACCACATACGAAAGTGACCCAGATCGGATTTGTGCCGTTCACACTGTCATACCATGATGGGATATGGGTCGCATAGGGTCAGAAAAGTCAGATTTGATGCGCTTTCGCCTGCAGTGTGAACGTAGCCTTAGACAGTAAAGTTTATGGGAAGGTTGATGTCCGAGCAACAGGGACCTGTGAAGAGAGCTTATGTCAGGTCTGTTTGAAAAGAATAAGCACGAACATGTTTACCTGGAAGGTGAAGTGGATAAAGGAGTACACTGTCCTCCCATTGGCAGCTGGGGCGGGGAGCGCAGTGCACATGCCGCAAAACACGGCCACCTCGTTCAAATTCAGGCTGTACTCCTTCAGATCGTCTTCATAGAACACGCTGATATCCTTCTCCAGCATTTTCAAGGCCATCCTTCCCAACTGTACCACCAGGTTTTTATCATCAGTGGACCATTTCTGAGTGCAAAGAACACAAGAAGATAAAAACAAAGCTCTGACACCGAACATAAGCTTTGCAGTTCCAGGGCGAATGCCTGTTCATCGGTCTTAATGGAAATAAACTGGGATTTGACTGTGTTTGATTTATTGCTCCTTTAAAGCTGGGCCACATCTGGACTTTTCTGTTTCAACAGCTCTTCTTTTGACAGCAGCTGCGATGTCATCCACTCTGCTGCTTTGGGACTGCAGCGTACACCCGACAGTCATACATTAACACTCAGTCACCGACAGTATAGACAGTATATGACCCATCAAAGTCATACTAAGGCTGTAACTTGGCCAGTTTAAAAACAAAGACATTATATAAAAGATGGATGCATCTTCTGTGACATCACTTCAGAAACTCGTGTAATACACACTGTGGACAAAGCCGCTCTTTCTCTCCTAAAGCTAGCAAACTAGAGCAGCAGTAGTCTGCAGCAGGACTGGAAGCTGTTTGGAAATGAAACACAGACACGTTACCAGCTCATTTTCCCTCCTGTCATAGTAAAACTGCAGCCTGCGATTCATCTGGACCATCAAAATGTTGACGTAGAACGGCGTCAGTCTGGGAGGATCCTTCCCGTAGCCCCGGTAACGGTAGCAACGCTCGAACACCGTGGCCACCATCCAGCACACAAACGGGTGGCGAGCGGCCATGACAAGTGTGGGGAGGCGCTTAAAATGAGACAAGATCTTTGCTCCCAGATCCGTATTGCTCTGCCAGCGATTCTTCAGGTAGGACTCTTTCATGTCATCGCTGCGGACAAAGAGGGCAAACGGATTAACTCACAGCACTGAAACTAAATCACGTGCACACAGACGTCAGAACGAATCAGCCGCCATACTTGAAGCCCTGGATTTCTGTGACCGCATCGATGAACTTGGAAGGTATCTGTGAGACAGCCCCCCGTCTGCCCAGGATCCAGAGGCGGGCGCCGCGGAGCACAGTGCCTCTGATGATGTTTACTACCAGGACATCAGGATGTGCCGGAGTGTCGTTGTCATGTATGACTGGAGCATTCTGGAGACAGAAAAAGGAAACAGACAGAAATGCGTCTGATTGAGTCAGCCACTTATCTTAGCAGCCAGGTTTATTCCTGCTGGCTAAACCTGCTCAGTTACAAACAAGATCGTCACAAGTACTTTACTCCATCTTCATTTAACCTCCTAGGACCTGACCTCCACATGTGTGGACATCACATTTCCTTTAGAAATGTGTGGTTTCTTG